TTAAATTATTAATTTAATTATTTTTATAAAAAAAATACGTTTAAACATGTATCTCAAAAGTAAATTAGCAGGTTTAAAAATATACACTTCCATTTTTCGTATTGTATTTCGTTGGGAGAGAGAAGTAGTGACAGTAGTGACTGGTATCTGATGGATGCAAACAGGTGTCGAGTCGCTGTCTCAGATAGCTCAAATTGCACGACGACGATACATGTACAGACTCAGTCCCTGAACCATATTATTTTCCCTTCCGCACAATCTTTACTGTAATGCTATAGCCCCAAATTCAAACGAAACAAGCCTAGACGTGGAAAAGGTTCAGGCTGAAATTCCCACCCCACTGGGGCTCATTGTATCAAAATAATAGACATTCAGAGACTAAGCTTTAGTCTCACGGTGAAGTACAACTATCAAAAATATACCATGCAAGTCTGGATTTCTTCAGATTTCTTCAGACAGACTCTCCATGTTTCTATGGATATATAAACAATATCTTTTATAAATTCAGAGTGTCCACGAGCGTATATGTGTTATTCTTTTTGCGCAAAACACATATATACTGATTAAATAACGTTGTAATACAACACAAGTATATGTCCATATGTATACATCAGTTTGATCTTGTGATCTTTATTCATAGTTTTGGCTCTTTTTCTACAAGAGATTATGGGGTATAGACTAGTGGTTACATAACACCACAAAGCCAGGTCCAGATTCAAGTCTTGTATGTGGGAAACCAATATCGCAATAAAGAAACCAATATCGCAATATGGCTGAAAATGGCTAAACGTGGTATTAACCAGATTACTCACACATTTATTCAGTTATCTTTATGCACTTTCTACAAGAAGGTATATCTATTTATCCATAAGAAGGTACATCTATATTCATCCAAATGTCCATACATATATGTCCACATATATACTAGTATGTTTTAAGCAACTCCTGCTCTATTTCTTAAAGGTAAATGCTAAACATTTCCTCTGTATACATTTATATATGTTAACATCATTTTAGTGTCAACACTGTGGCAGTGAACGTATAATAACATCTAATCTCAGAAATGAACATATTTCACAGTAAAAACAGTTGTTAAATAATCGCTATAAAAATAATATAGAGGAGTCAAGAGACTTTCTTCATTTTGCCAAATATTGGGCTGTTGTTTTTAGTCAAGATAGTTGGACAAAAATTGTCTACCGTTTTCTTATGATTGTCAACATTTAAACAATGTTCTCAGCTACATTATGAACCATTGAACATCCAAATGTGATGAATTGTACAAATGTCCTTTCATACATGCATATGGGATGAGTCAGCTCTTAATAGTTCAATGAAATTAGCAAGGTTTTTTATTTAGAGATGATCAAATCATCAAATTGAAGATGTTAAGTAAGTGTAGCTGTATGTTAGTGATCAACCCAACCTTGATTAAATATATATTGAAAGATGAGTGGTACCAAGTTGTGTAATTATTTCAAATAAGAATGATAGCACAGCAGGAAAGCATGGCACTTTAATACACGTATCTTGTTAACCCAATAGTTCTTAAATATAAGCAACATGTACATAAAGAGTATAAGTTTGGTGCGTGTCTTATCACACATTACTTTCAGAAAGTGTGCGTATTGTGTTTATCTGGACTCCTGTAACTGGCAATGAATGTCATTAGACGATTCATAAGGGTAGATACGGTTTATCATCAAAACCTGGCTCCCACAGCAGATATCGCTTGGGTGAGATCAAGCGTACAAAAGTGTATTTCCATTTGTGTTAACATGGAAAATATCTTCACAATTCTTTGGTCTCCTCAATATAACGACTGGGGACAAGGGAAGGGCATTCAGGCGGAACAGTGCGGCAAACAGGCTGCATTCCTTGTCACTACTGTCTTTATATCCAGTGTACCCTCTGATCCGAATTGAGCGCTGATATTAGGTAACTCCTTCCTTATACGGTTACAACCCCGTATCAAGTCCACCATTGGTAACACATTCTACTGCGTACAATGAGTCATAGAGCTATAAAACACAACTGTTCAAAACCAACTGTGCAAATACTCTGTGTAAACAGTAACCCAAGATAAGATTTCATAGTTCGAACGGCATTGGGCATCTTTGATACTTGATCAAATTCAACGACATATACTACAGGCTCTATACCACGATTGATTCTGATACTATTTACAATCAGTGTTATTTACAGCAATGAAAAAGGAGAAAATAAATACACAAAAATTAGAATTAGAAGTGGTCAAGAGCTATCGTTCGATACTTAATGTCTCTGACGATACTGTTTGCGTTGCAGTTTTAATGTCGTCTTTCTTTTCCAGTTGACTTAGCACAGTGCTACTAAGTTTATGGTGAGACTCCGTGACTTCAGTCCACCAGCAGAAACATGAAGCCAGTTCAAGTAAATATATAGTGTTATTGCCAGAGAATAACCAGTCTTTAAATACGTATCACACATACACGTGCAAACCTACATATATAATTGTACATACATACACACATATACATACAGATGCCATTTATAATGTACTTTATAAACTTTTAATTATTGTTGGAATTCACCCGTTACAGCGTAGTTTACTTTTTATGAAGTAATCTGGTCCTGTGCCTACTCTGACAAATATTTTAGATACATCAAACAATAATATGCAAAAATATTCATGCTTATCAACGGATGAGACAATGTTATTATATATTTGTATTTCTATGTATTGTGAGGTAACACATTATCCTTGTACAAAGCCAAATTGATATTTATCCATGCAACATTCATGAGCACCATATGGCAATGATGTTAAACGGACAATACATTTGAAACAGGAAACATTGAAAACAACGTCTAGTGCAAATATTGATCAAAGATGATCAATGAGCTTGGAGGTTATATCTGTTTTAAATCTTACTTTTGCAACCTATATCTGTGTTAATGCTGTCCTTACATTGTATGCATCGCTCAGCTTATAAGTGTGCCATAAGTAATTCACAGGCGTTTTATCATAACATTGTACGCTTTTATTTTATTTACATGCGTTCTAGTTGGAAAAAATGTAATGTCACATACCTACACTTTGTTGCATAATAAAAAAGTTGAATGAGAAAACACCTATATGAGTATTCTTCCACGAAATTGTGAAATAGCTGAATCTGATTGGTAAATCAGTGGTTTCGACATCAAATTTCAACCAAACCTGATTGAAACAGATGACTTTCGTATCACCACCATATTCAAACTATGCATGGTAATAATCGTTGGAAAATAAACACGACATAAATTAAGCGAGAGAGTGTATTTCAAATTTTGAGGACAACATGTTGCTTGAATTCTGGAGCCTTTCAGTATCCGATTGTGATCTCATGTTCTTTGTTCTTTGCGTCCACAAAAGGAACACGCTACATGCACTTGTTTCTGAGCAAACTATGATTGAGGGGAAAGTGTAAGTGATAAAAAGTCGTTAGTCTTTTGAAAACGTTTTCGGTTAGTTATTAGAATAGAAAAACAAACTGATTCAGAAGAATCTGGTAGAAACTATCAGTCTTATGTTTTATATTTACACTAATTGGTTTTTGTAACTGCCACGCAGAAAACATCATTGTACACATGGCAAGCAGTCATAATTGTTGACAGCAGTGTCAGTACGTACAATATCAACAACGACAACATGTAGCTGATCTTGCTAGTGTTATTTATGATATGTTATTGATAAATGAACACATGGGGTCCCATTACAAGCCAGTATAGTCATGTCTTTCAATGTATTTATAACATGCGGGAACGCAAATGATGTCAAGTCTTGTCTTTAAATATCCCTTTATATGGGATATATGAAAGAGAATATACTCTTGAACAAAAACTACAAGTAAAACAGTATGGCATAGCTTTAAGACTATTCTAAGTAAATATATTATCGTTGTCTAAGTCTAGAAATCTTACTAAATGAATTCAGGATATGTCAGATAATACTATATATGTGTACAGAAAGTCTGACATGAAAACAAAATATGTTATCATATCTGCAATACAACATTCTGCAATATGAATGCAGTCAATTTCGGTAGCAAGTTTCCCTGACAGCAAAGTATGGGGTCAATCTTGAGTACTAGGCTGTGTAAGGTTAAGTTCATACAAGGGACATTTGAGTTTCATAACGCACAACATTACTTGCCAAGGTAGAAAATGTGAGGGTAGGAAAGGGAAAATGTTAAATCAGACACTGTAAACATTTGGCCGTAACTCATGACCGCATTTGCGGAGATATCACTAGCATATACTAATTTTTAGAATGGCATATAGTTTGCAAATATGTGCAGACAAATCAATCTTGTCCTATCAAATATCATCTTTAGCACATTGCTCAGTGAAACACTACATTGTGCATTTATATCCCAGGAATAAAGTTTTTGTTGTTGTTATAAACAAAATAGATGTCATTGTCCAGTAAATTGCGCAGTAAACAAAAGTTACATGAATGTATTTGCAGATTTATCACAGGAATAAAGTATGTATTTTTGCAGTAAATAAATGTCATTTTCTAGCATATTACACGGTGAAAAAGCTACGTATTTGAGGATATATGTCAGGAATAACGGTAAGATGTTAGACTAAGTATTTTTACTGATTCATGAATACATTCTAACGATATAGTCGGATTGTACAGTGTATGTTGTAGAGATTGTGATTGCAATGTGTTTTGCTGTTTTTTTGCATATTACATAGTAAACAAAGTGAATAATTTTTTTTTTAAATCGCTCCTTTTCCATCAAAATACAAAAATGATCAAGTTTCTGAACACTGACTTGGTAGAATTGTAAGATGTTTTACTTTTGCAGCTTACAAAAGTGAAAAATTCAACTTAAACGTATTTAAACATGGTAACATGTCATGTTTGCAATTACTTTTAAGAGAGTATATCTTACATACCAAGATGGACTGCTTTATGAGTCCCTACCCACAGTAACCAGTGATGCATTGCAGGCCGCGCTTTTACATACCCTGTTACCCAACGCCAGGAATGAGAGATCCTTCACACTGTACAAGTAGAATCAGCTGCAACAAATTGTCAGTGGATCTACTCAAGATCAACAGCTCCAAATTGTGTCACTCCGATAAAGGACCACAATAACAAAGCGATAACAAATATCTTTGTGACAGAAGTTGTGCTTCCAATCAGTGTTTCCCTTCTATCTATAGCAAGTTTATGTATTTTGTTTTGCCGGGTATAAGTATGTGTCTGTGCAGACTAGTTCAACATGACCTAGGATACACAATATAACAACGAAACAGGTTTGTCATGGTTAGTAAGCACATAGCCTGGCCTCGTTGTGAAGCAAAAGCAAGCATAGGCGATAGCGTGCCAACTCTAATATTCAGCGTAAACGTTGCATAAATAAAGGTATAAATGCAGTGTTCGACATCCCCATGGCCTCGTGACATATATATGAAAGTTTTGACCTTGAATATCGAACAGTTATCTATGTGTAGGAGAACAAAGAGAGAGATGAGGCACAACCCACCTACCTGGACAGGTAACGTCCTTCGCTGTTCATGCAGGTCATTTCCGGACCATATATATATATATATATATATATATATATATATATATATATATTAATATATATATATTTGTGTGTGTGTGTGTGTGTGTGTGTGTGTGTGTGTGTGTGTGTGTGTGTGTGTGTGCATAATGACTTTGCGTGTTTGTGAAATATTAATACATACGAGGGTTCATTGATAGGTTCTAAGCTTCACATAAAAGGAAAATTGAGTCATAGTGACATTTTTTGTTGTGGATATTACATGATGTCAAAAAGGGATATACAGAACAAAACTTCAGTTTACTGAGTATTTTTTACAATTTAGCAAAATATGCAGGGCTATGTGAAAAAGTACAAACCTGAAGGACGTGAGGTGATCAAGTACTTGCAGAAAAAGGACATAGCGCCAAAAGCCATCCTTATGAATGAGATTGAAAAATTACGAATTTACTTCAGTATTGTTTGCGTTTCATCGATTAAAACCGTGTACACATCAACTGTGTGAAAGGAAAGAAAGATGGACATCAAGGTACACAGAACCTCTGGGAATATGGATAGAGAGCTAGAGACGAACCAGAACACAACGACCTGGACAGGTAACTCACATGTACAACACGTAGTTGATTCACTGACTTTGTGTACTGGCGATTAGGTGTCTCACTCCGGCAGTGTGGGCTCGAATCCCGGATGGGATTTAACCCCCCAAAAAGTACGAGAGTCTGTACTTCACTAAGATAGTGTCATCCTAGATATAATATTTGTTACTTTTGACCACTTTCTAAAAGGCATTTTGTGTGTTTGTGATATCGTAGGAATGACACTATATCCTTTGTATTTCATGTCATTGACTGTTGGTTTATAGTTAATATCTTAATTATATTTAGACAGATTATGGAACCTTTTTAGAGGTATTATAATTTTCCGATTGCTTACTAATAACGTGAGAGCAGTAGGCATTAAAATTGTAAGCACAAAGTAACTTAAAGTTGATCTACCTTTTGAGTTCTTCCTATGCATCAGCCGCTCCACGCAGAGCACTCCTGGAAGGTTACCGGTATTGTCAAATCTGGAAGATCGGTCGCAGCTCAGTGATTCTCCTTCATGTAGTTTCTTCCAGGCCATGTGGTCGCATGCTCAAAAATCCATTATCACTTATATATTGTATCGGCAGTAATAGCTAATATAACAAGACGATTACCAAAATGGACGATTGCGCATGCACCAGGGACATGCATCATTTGTTATGCATCGCTCTTGCTTTTATAAATACCTTTGACACACTGGGGTCAAGTGTCATATTGACAACTACCCCTGAAATACGTAAAACAAACCATGCATTGAAATTTAAATTTCAACGCCCTGTGACGAATGTAGCATTCTTAATTTTCTGTTTGAATTTAAGTCAACTGAAAACGTGATATTTGTAAGAATAAAGTGATATTGGAAAATGTGCCTAATATTTTAATATATGAAACTACTAAGAACTTCTGTCAGAGATTTACTACACGATACTCATTTTGCTGATGGCAATGCATGTGACACAGGTTGCACACGGGTTGAGGGTGTATGTTTTTTATTTAACGCCGCACTCAGCAATACTCCAGCTATATGACGACGGTCTGTAAATGACGGACTCTAGACCAGACAATCCAGTGAATAACACCATGACCATCAAAGCAATTAGCATACGATGACATGTCAACGAGTCTGACCAACCGATTCCGTTAGTCAACTCTGACAGTAGGCATTTACTGCTGAAGACCATGCAATTCTAACCCGGATCATGTTGTCTTGCGCTCGCCCAATTATCTTTCTTGACACAGTGTGATACTTAGTAATGTATCAAGATCATGTGAATCAATCAGATTTCATGGCATGGGCATGATAAAATAGTATGTTGACGTTTTGCACAAGTGGTTCCTTCATGTCCATAAGGTTTGGTTTTAGCTTGGTGTGATTTTAGCTGTATCCCAACATCGGTAATATACTCATAAAAAAGAAACGCAAAAGATTGATGTGAGGTAGGAAAATACATTTATACGAGGTACCGTACAAGGTACAAGGTATTGAGCCAACATGTTGTGGTGAGAACACTTTGTGGTTGTAGTCATCTCAGTTATCAGTCCCCGGTCGGAATCGATAGCGGCCTGACATCTCCTGCCCATGGAAGAGACGAAACACGTCCTGGGGTATGGTAGCCCACTCGGCCTGCAACGAAAAAAAGCCAACTGCTGCAACGTCTGGGGTTGTGGTTGACGTCGGCGTAGCCGTCTATCCAACTCATTGCACAGGTGCACAGGTGCACAGGTGCGCTGCGGTTCAAATCCGGGGATCTGGAGGGTCAGGGGAGAACATCAACGTTGTTGTTGTGTAGACAGGCTCTTGTGATCCATACTGTATGCGGTCGAGCATTGTCCTGCTGGAATACACCGTTGCAGTTGGCTGCAACTGGGAGGACGTGTGGCAGGATAATTTCGTTGATGTATCGTTGAACCTGGATATGCATATGGACCAAACCTGTCCTGCCATGATGAGAGTTAGCCACCCACATCATAACGCTAGCCCCATCAAACCTGTAAGCAGTTTCCAGCTTAACGTTCTAGCGACGTCTTTAGACCGGTGCTCTTTCTTCCCCTCGACGGAGGAGAAATCTTGATTCGTCGCTGAACCAGACATCTCTCCATCGTCGTTCAGGTCATACCATCGTTGTTGACGATAATGTTGACTCAATATGTTGAGTCGGACGTCTTGCTCGTAGACCTGCTGCTCTTAAACGGGTTCGTACAGTGTGGTCGGAGATTCTGTACAGTGCGGGTATTTGGGATGCGGTTGAGGTGGCTGTGGTCGTCCTTTCACGTAGGTGGCGCAGTCGGATGAAGCGATCTTGGACGGGGATGGTTACTCTTGGTCGTCCCGACCTTGGCCGATCACGTGTTGACCAATGCTGTTGAAACCAATCCCGTAGCCTTACGATGGTGCTGAGCGCTACATTGAAACCCCCGCTACAGCTGATTGGGATTCCCCTGTGACGTTGTTTCTTTGCACTTCTGTTAATCTTGGCATGTTGTTGCCAGGCAATCCAAAACCCTGCACTAGAGTTTAGCCTGAGGCTAACATAATGACCCACGTGTCAAGGCAGATTTAAATTTAAGGTCCTTTCTAAAGGTAGGACTGTCTGCCACATCCAAGGCCTTTTCAGGCCTGTGCGATTCTTGATACACACATAGCATGGATGATACCTGGTACAAGCTTACATACACCACCAGCACGAACTGAAAGAAAAGTACGAGTAGATATAGGTCACTGCTAAATAAACGGCTCGCAGTTACCGGACTGCAGAACCTTCCTCATAAAAGCGGCATTAAACCATACTCACTCACTCATTCTTCGTTAATTAATCATTGCAACAAATCGTGATATTTTCGATTGGCGAGAACTATAATGTTTTGAATTTTTTGCTATGGCTGAGGCGCATTTGCAACGAGAAGCCGCGCCAAAATGCATTTGCGCTGAGCACACGCTTAAGAATGCCACATTGACAGTATCTCAATGAACAGACAAAATGGCGACTTGTGAATACGATAGAGGGTAGACGTCAATATTCCCAAGATGCCCGAATGTTTGGCACTTCAAAGGTGTCATTTTCCGTCTTTTGAACAAGTACCGTCCAACGGTTGGGGTTGCAATGAGACATGGGCCTGGCAGCCCGAAACATACGACATCTACACAGGATCGTCTCTTTACATTGATTGCACTGGGCAATAGACTCAAATATGCTCCTGTTGTCAATAAATAATTGCGTATAATAACAGGAAGGCGAAGTACCGTCAAAACCCGGCTCTGTGCAGCCCGCCAGAAAGCAAGGCATCCTGTGAAGGGTGTGACGCTTACAGCTTGCCATTTGCAGCAAATATTGGGGTGGACTAGGCAATACCAGGGAAGGGATGTGCGCCAATGGCGTTACACCATGTTTACAGACGAATCAAGGTTTTCCTCCTGTTCACAGATGGCAGAAAACGTTGTTGGCGGCGTAGCGGTGTGTGGTACGCCAGGGCAATCATTCTTGACAATGATCGGTATGGGGGATGGTAGTGTCATGGTGTCGGGCGGTATCACACATGACAGGCAAACTGATTTTGAATGAGCATTTGACTGGTTAGCGATCTGTTGACGAAATATCGTCCTGTTTGTGGTTTGTTTGTTTGTTGTTTAACGCCATCCTCAGCAATCATCCAACTATGTGACGGCGGTCTCTAAATAATCGCATTTGGACCAGACAATCCTCCAGTGATTGACATCACGAGCATCGATCTACACAATTAGGATACGATGACATGCATCAACTAAGTCAGGTAGCCTGACCACCCGATCACGTTAGTCGCCTCTTACGACAAACATAGTTGCCTTTTACGGCAATCATGGGTACTGTAGACCAATTCTAACCCGGATCTTCACAGGCAGTAATGTCGTCCTGTCTTTGTTCCTTTCTGAACGACTAGAGTTACCGGCAGCAATTTGTAATCAATAGATGGCAATGCCAGGCCACATCATGCCCAGGTCGTCAGTGATTATCTACGAAGAGAAAGCATATTGACATTGGCTTGCCCGCCAAGGTTCCGATCATTTAATGTTCTGGGGTGGAGTGTGGAGTGATGGTTGGCGGAGCCTTGGAAAATAAATCGCACCATGAAACTCTTGGAAA